AAGAGTGTGGTTTGCAAGATGATGCGGTGACCAGGATTAAGAAAGGAATGCTTCGGTGGTTTGGTCATGTAGAAAGAATGAATGCGGAAAGACTGACAAAGCAAATATATGTTGCAGAAGTGAATGGAATAGTCGGAAAGGGACGTCCTAGGCGGAAGTTTGTCGACCAAATTGGCGATATACTAAAAATGGGCCAAATTAAGAGCACCCTTAACCGACGAGCATGTATGCGTAGGTATACGGATGTGGAAGAGACGAGAAAGGTATGTCAGGATCGTGCTAAATGGAAGTCTGTAGTCTCTGCCTACCCCTCTGGGTGACATGCGTGAGTGTTTATGTATTTATGTATGTATGTAACGTAAACTACTCTAACTTTCATTTTTTTCATAACACAGTAACTTTATATAAAATTAAATAGCCCCTCAAAATATCATCATAATATATTATAGCGTTATAATTTCTACGACATAAGTAACACTAAATTACTAATGATGCTCTTGTTTATCCTGTGAGGTGGGACCTGGTGATTGGTAATACACGCATTTTATTGCATAACTCAGACACCAGCTCCTCACATATTCCAGATTATGAGTTTGAACATTCTCATATGAGGCACTCTCTCTCAGTCAAGCATTAGGCATAGACAGATATTTAAAAAGCAGTGCAGCAATAAACGAAATAAAAGAGATGACAAAAAGTAAAATTATATATTATATTGTTTTTGCTATCGTAAACCAGCGCTTAACTACAGTCCCATCTGATGGTAAGTGGTAATGTGGGCTATGATGGTGACTTAACAAAAGCCTATTCACTCTTGCCTTGAAGACAGACTTTTTGCCTGGTAGAGCCATGCTGCAGTTATATTAGTAGTATAGTTGTAGAACGAATTGTAGCTCGACCGGTGAAGGACCACGCTCTCACAGAATACCAGCATAAAATATGCTTGCAGCATTGTTTCGTATGGTGAGTGTAGAGAACCGGAAACCCTTTTTACTGGAAACGAGGCATTCCATCTTAGCCCTCACGGGTGACAACGCATCTGCACTTTGAATCGTAATCGAGGATAGATGTAGATGTCTATGGGTCACAGCAACCACTTACCATCAGTTGGACTGTGTGCTCGTTTGTAATATTATTCTATAACAAAAGACACCCACATTGTAATCTGATGGAAAATCTGACGCTGGTAGCTTATTCCAATCCTTTCCTGTACGCATGACGAAAGATGTAGCAAAAAATTTGGTTCGAAAATGCGGTAAGTCAACAATGAAAGGGTGGAGACAGGCAGAACGTCTGGTTGTCAGACGGTGAACGGGAGAAGGAGAAATTACAAAAAATAATTTATTTCTAAAAATAGAGCTACAGTGCTGAACACAATAAACATTAACTTATATTAAATCATTTTAAAATCTAATTACATATAAAAAATTAGCTCCTGGACTCCAAAACAGGCATAGCCTGTATTTTGGTGACCATGGAGTATAGTCATCAATTTTAACTTCGTACTTAAACTATGCAAATTCTTCAAAAACAATTAATTATTTCTATGATAAAGAACTTTTAACATTTTTTCCTTACATTTATTTATTTCTTGTTAACATATTGATAGAATTTTTCCGGCATTGATTTTTTATACGATTTGATATCATTTATGATTTTAAATTTTCATGGTCATTATTATAAAACGTTGTAAGATACTTTTTTACTATGTGTTTAGCTTTCGATGTGGTGAAATTTTTGATGTCGCACAACGTATTGGTTGGTGGAGCTTATGGCAAATATATTTTTATCGTACTAATTATATACTGTTGTATCAAAATATCAAAAATATAGCTCAGTTTACAAAAAAATGCATTAAATCTACTGATAGGAATATAAGTTTTCCTATTTCAGCAAAACACATCCCTGTACGTATGCCTTTATACGAGGGTAAAACTGAAATTTCTCAGAAAATCAAAAACTGAACAAACTGACAAGTTATTAGTTTTATAATATCTTTCCAAAATAGTGTCCATTTACATCAATACATATAAAATAGACACAAGAAGTGACAAACAATTGTTAGTTTACCGCTGTGCAGTAACTGTTTTTCGATCCTCTAAAGCAATTTTTGCGTAACGAACTGTTCTTCTGGAGAACGAGGCCACCATCTTTTTTCCCACACTTTGAACTTTCTTCACTTTAGTTGGTAACTCCTTGAGAGGAAACCCCCAAACAGCAGACTGTCTTTTAGTTTCAGGATCTTAACAATAAATCCAGCTTTCGTCACCCGTAAATATGTCGAACACAGCATTTGAGTCACCTCCGTTAAATCTTTGAACCATTTCACGACACCAATCAACACGACGGAGTTTTTGGGCCTCAAGCTCCCTGATTGCTAAATGTTCATGGAGGATTTTGTGCACTTGACTCGTACCGATGCCTAAGCTTGTCCGAATCTGTTGATAAGTCACTATTTTGTAAGTCTCTATTATACGCTGCAAAACACTATTTTTATCTTCAACCGTCACCATAGAAAGCCGCCCCTCACGCAGATCATCAGTGATACAAGTGCGACCAATTTTTAATTCATCAAAACAGTTGTAAACAGTGGCAAGAGCTGAGGCTTCATCGTTAAAGGCCAATCGAAGCCTATCATAAATTTCTTGTTGACTTAAATGACATCGAAAGTCATTAAAAATCAAGGTACATACATTTTTTCTCGTTAAATTCATGCTAACGTGACGCAGACAATTTTCAATCTGCTGCCAATGACAAATTAATAAAATACATACACAATAATATTGGCCAAGAGTTCCATTTTCGAAATTTGAACTTATTTTCTTATTATATCGTTTACAAGTGACCAGTTCTAAAAACTTTCAGTGTCGGCTTCGTAGTTAGTTAGGAATGTCAGAAATTAATGTTTTGAAGGGTTAATGGCGACCTTCATCTAATTTCTTAGTTCATATCATTTTAAATCATATTAAGCTCCGCATTTACGCGCAATTATCTATTAACTGAGATCTTGTAAAATATGCTTTTAAGGGCCCATTTTTCAATCTACAGATAAAATGTATTCATAGTATAACGACCTCTATGACATTACACAGGTTTTTTTTATAGAAGAGGGGGCAAACGAGCATGCGGCTCACCTGATGTTAAGTGACTACCGCCGCCCATGATCAACCGCAACACCAGGGGAATTGCAGGTGCGTTGCCAGCCCTTTAGAAAGGAGTACGCTCTTTTCTTGAAGGTATCCAGGTCGTATCGGTCCGGAAAAATAGCTGGTGGTAAACTATTCCACAGAGAGGTTGTACGCGGAAGAAAACTCCTCTTGAAACGTACAGTGGTGAACCGCCATGCATCCAGATGGTGTGGATGGTATCGGGACGTTTGCCGCGTTCATGAAATATGGCGGCTGGGATTAATCCGAACAATTCCTCAGAGCAATCTCCATGGTATATGCGAAAGAAAATGCAAAGAGATGCAACATCTCTTCGCAGTGCAAGTGAATCGAGCCGATCGGAAAACACTCGTTCGTCGACAATTCGAGCCGCTCTGCGCTGGATGCGGTCAATTGGAAGGAGCTGGTACTGAGGAGACCCAGCCCAGAGACGGAAACAGTACAGAACAGGCCTTCTCTTCCAAGTGACCACGAAACTGCACGTCACTCGATATGTCGACGCCGAGGATTCCGATACTGGCTGTGGCAACAAGAGGAGTGCCTTGAAACTGAGGAGATACGACAAAGGGGTTCTTTTTAGCGGTTAACGCGCAAACTTGTGTCTTCTGGGGGTTAAACTGGACTAGATTTAATCGCCCCCAATCCGAGATTCTGTTCAGCAAAAACTCGACTTCAGACACGAGTTTATCCCGGCACTCGGAGACGTTTTCCCGAGAAATATTGGCTCGGCCGGTGTAAAGAGCATCACCAGTGCTGTCATCTGAATAGCAATGAATGTTACGGGTTTGCAACATATCATTGATATGCAGAAGAATTAGCGTTGGCGATAGCACGCAGCCTTGTGGAACACCAGCATTAATAGGCTTGCAATCGGAGCTTGCACCGTCTACAACGACCTTGATGCCCCGATCTGCAAGAAAGCTGGTGATCCAATCGCACAATTTCTCGGGAAGCCCATAGGAAGGGAGCTTCGAAAGAAGCGCTTTGTGCCAAACCCGATCGAAGGCTTTCGCAATGTCTAAACTAACGGCCAATGCCTCCCCCTTGGACTCTACTGTGAGTTAGGTAGACCAGAAGATCACCAGCTGACCGACCACGGTGAAAACCGTATTGGCGGTCACTATTCAGCTGATGATCCTCAAGGTACCTCATGAGCTGGCAGTTTACAATGGACTCCATTTTTTTGGAGAACAAGGAGATGATGGCGATAGGCCGGTAGTTGGACGGGTCAGAGCGGTCGCCTTTTTTAGGGATCGGGTGGACGAAAGCCGTCTTCCATGATTTTGGGACTACGCCTAGGGAGTAGGAATACCGGAAAAGACGCGTTAAAACCGATGCCAATTCTGGAGCACACGTCCTCAGCACAATTGGGGGGATTCTGTCAGGCGCACTCGACTTGTGGATGTCCAGGGAGAGGAGTGCTTTGCGAACCGAGCGCTGTGTGAACTGCACTTCCGGCATGGAGCACTCACACCGCGGGATGGTGGGCGGCGTACTCCCCCCGTCATCGAGAGTCGAGTTGGACGCAAAGAAAGAGCCTAGAAGATCGGCTTTCTCCTTTGCAGTATGGGCCAATGAGCCGTCCTACCTGTGCAGAGATGGAAGAGATGGCTGACAGAAATTCCCCTGGACAGCCTTGGCGAGAGACCATAATGCACGGGTTCCAGAAGGAAGGCGAACTAGTTTCTCGCCAATTCTGCCTAAGTGCTCTGACTTTGCCTTGGCAATGACTCTTTTGAAGGACCTAGAGGCGGAATTATACTTCTTTTTTAGAGCGCTGATGTTTACATCCTGGGACGTTGATGCGTAAGCCCAGGCTTGGTAACACTCCTGCTAATAGCATGATGCTATTTTACAGGAGCGACCAAACCATGGCTGAGATTTGCCTCCAATGGGCACCACTGAGGAAGGAATAAAAAGTTCCATACCCTGAAGTACCACATCAGCGACAGAATCCGCAACAACGTTGGGATCGTCCGGCGAGAAGCAAACCCGCCCCCAAGGGTAGAATGCAAAAAAAGACCGCATCCCATCCCAATCGGCTGACTTATAGTGCCAAATAAGGCGGCAACCTGCAGAATGCAACTGCGATTTCAGCGTGAGTGGCACCACACTCCGAACAAGACAATAGTCCGAGGAGCCTAAAGGGGCGTCAACGGAAACCTGATATCCGTCCGGGTGAGAGGTCAGTAGAAGGTGTAACAGGGAAGGTGCATGATCCTCCACATCTGGAATCCGCGTAGGCGAAGTAACCAGTTGTGTCAGACCATATGCCAAGGCAAAATCATGAACAGACCTCCCCGCATGATCGGTTAAACGTGAACCAAGCCATTCGGCGTGTTGGGCGTTAAAGTCGCCGAGGATCACGATCTCTGCGGAGGGGATCTGCTGTAGCAACGAATCTGTAGCCATTTGGACGTGGTCGAAGAGTCGGTCTGTTTCGGCATTACCGCTATGGGACCTATAAAGGCACCCGTAGACGCGAGGATGGTCGTCGCTGTCTACGCGTAGCCAAAGGATGGACAGATCCGAACCTTCAAGTCTGCCGAGGCGTCGAGAACAGATGTCCTCTTTGACGTAAACGCTAACTCCAGCCCGAGGCACAAAGGAGTGTTCCAGTTTGTAATCCGGGTAGGAGAGATACGAGACATCAGCCGGAAAAGACACCTGCGTCTCGGTCAGAAAGAGCAGAGCCGGCCTCGCCGTCTCGAGATGGTAGTGGACGGCGTTTAGGTTAGAGTGAAGTCTCCTGATATTGCAGAAATTCGCGGACAGCGTGGCAGGGGTCGCCTTGGTCTTGTTGCTCCGTTTGCCCCGAGCAGTTAGCCTGAGGTAGCCTGAGTATCCACGCTCAGAAGTGGAGAAACATAGTCGTGGATGCTCAGCGAGGGATTCCCCAGGGGTCCTGGTTATTTGGAACATGGAAGATGGATGTAAAGCCTGAAGGAGATGTTACCTAAGACCATTTATAACGAGGCTTAAGTTTTCTTAGACGAAATTTGCTCCTTTTTTGAATTGAATTTCTAAGGTTTTTAACAATAAAACCGACTTTTTTTCCAAATAATGCGCATAGTAGTCCAGTAACAGTTGTTACGTTGTTGCTTCTATTATTTTATTATATAATGTGTAATTACTCAAACAAAATAATTTTCAAGCATCTTCTTCTTTAGAAAAATATTCTACGAATATTTAAGTTTAAGAAACAAAAACACAAAAAATAAAGTAAATGTTGTGTTTGTCATGCCACCATGATAAAATAAATAAAATAGCTTTTGTTGTTCAAACCTTTGCGAATGCATATTTTTATTTCTATACGGCCTAAAATAATGAAACATTTTTGCTAATAAACTATTGTTTTTGTTAGAACTGACTAGTTTTTAGAATTACGATGCACGTGCATGGATTAACTTCCGGGAGCTCATTTAGTAAAAACCGCTGCGTGACCCAAAAATCAGGATCAGTACTTGAAAATTAGGTCGTGTTTGTCACATCTTCAGACCCTCAGTTAGTCAAGTAACGACTGCCCTTGTGACGAGACGTTATATTTGCAAATTTGAATTTATTTCAGATGTTCTTTTTTATTGGGTTAAGCCTAGCTCTAGCTGTGTGCTCCGTGACTGTTCTCCACCTATTTGTGTGACCAATCAACTATGGCTCCTTTCACTAATGAAGAATACGCTGATATATTATCATATATGGCATAGCTGATGGTAATGGATCTATGGCACAGCGAATGTATTAAGAGCGATATCCGAATTGAAGATTACCAAATTTCAGAGTGTTGTAGGAATCCATCACGCAAAACCTTGAATCAATCCGTGAAACAATGGCCGAAGTATCAAGGAAGATATTGTTGCAATTTTCGATGCAAATTCTACTACGAGCTTCAGAGCAGTAGCTCAAAACATCAACTTTCGGTATGGCAGGTGTGGCATACGATGCACCCAGAAAACAAGTATCCTTTTCACAGCACGCGTGTATAAGTTTTGGAAAATTAAGACGGGTGAAAGTTTTCGAAAGAAATTACCAACTTTCATAATATCCATCGATGGGCTGGCAAGGACAACGGAAATTTTCAAAGGAAATTTTCAGTAAAACATATGGGCAGGAGTAATAGGCTGATTTTTGATTGGTCTCCACTTTCTACCAATAATTTAAATGAAGACAACTAGCTGAAATTCCTCATAAACGATCTCCCAAAGCTGACGACCCTTCAATCAAGTTGAGCATTATAACGAGTCGTTACCAGCTCGGTTAACATAAGCTGTACCCAAAAATGGCACAATTTATTTTGCTGTGCCACGTGCACCTACGTCTTATCAGGTCATCACTCCATTGAATGGGTGATGACCCATAACTGCCTTGACGATACGACACTGCAAGTCGAGATACTTTTGCTTTATATTGGTTGTCCATTCTAGCATATGAAACAATAACATAGCCATATCAGCTGATAAATTTGTTGCCAATTATCAGTTACTTTAGTTCTACTGATATTGTTTTGCATGTTTGTCACCTTCATTCTATAAAAATGATATCTGCCCAACGGTAAGATACGATACGAATTTTTCAACACGCACTCAAGCAAATTTTAATCTATAAGTGATGATTTCTGGATTTATTATAGCTAAGGAAATATGCAATATACTACTACGTTTAAAAGCATTATGATCATTGCAATCACTGTCAAATTTTAAAAGTTCTTTTTTTATATATATTTCAATATAATGCCGTTATCGAGCTATCTCTTAATAAGTATTTTGTAAAAACATAATTTTTATATACGAATATTTAATGCAAATTCCAACGGTTACAAAGGCCGTTAATTGATAAAGTAATAACAAGTCTGTCAAGTACTGTAAATTAGTTCATGAAATTACACTAGACAAGATAAACTTACTGTCTAGTACTCAAATAAACATGCATCCACATTAGCAAACACTCTCTTGCTCGTTTCGAAATACAAACTGAATGCAAATGAGAACGTATGTAAAAGAACTTACTAGTGTACTTATATTTTTTTTATATAAAATAAACTTGCCAGACTAGCTATTTGAAATTTATTTTAAATCGAAACAGCTATTGAAGATTTAATTACATCAAAAATAAAAATACGAAAAGGGTGACAAGCTCGGTACAAACAACTTTCAGGGCAGTCGGTTTTGTCAGTAAAAAAAGTATTAATCCAAATGGGCACCAAACTCCATAGCATAAGCAACTGCTAGCATAGAATCTATATGAATTTTCAACGTTCTTGGAACTTTTTATTTCATAGGATAAATTAATAACACATCAACCATATAATACGTGCGTTTTTCTATGTTTAATAAGAGGTTTGTACAGCTTTTACTTGTATTAAAAAAAAAACTCTAGTTTTTCTTTTTCACGATTCTTTTTAATACAAAAATATACGCAAAAAAACAGTCAGCAACATCATAAACAACATCAGTGTCATAAAAATTAATATTATTATAATAACGTCATAAGTTTTCATACGAAGATTTTGTGATAGGAATGGTTTTTTCGTGTCATTTGTATTAGTTGCTAAAGCACAGGACAATAAATAACGAATTTTTTCTTGACTATACGCACTGGTAGCTATTTACATGACTGTAAGTTATCAATATGAGCCACGTTCAACAGACCAACAAGTGATTCGCATGATCGTTTACCCCCGCTTCTATATAAAAAGATTTAGATATTCTGTTCAGGAAAAGGTAATGTTTTTTTTCTGACTTTTCTGCTTATAAGCTCATCTGGATATGTACTTAATATACCAATGCACTGTTACCACTGTTACCGATATAAATTGTGAAAAAAGGGAAAGGTGGCCATCCCATCGCCTAAACAATCACAAATCCATTATCCGGTAGGTCGTCTGTTACGAAATTCTTGGTATTTTATATAATACAGCTATTTTATTTAAAGTATTTTAACATAAATCCGTTTGATTTAAAAAGGGTGCTCGACAAGTGACACCGGTGTTTGAGCATATTTTTATGCATGTGAGAACGCAAAAGATGCTTTTAGAATATTTTAAGTTTTCCAAGGCTTTCATCTGTATGTTCACCATGTGACATTTATCAGTTACCTAAATCGTTATGGATAAAAATATATCGCTTAAACTTATTACGCAAACCTTTTGTTATCAATGGGAGTAGTTTTTCCAGTCGGTTGTATCTACGGGTGTTCCTTAGGGCTTAATTCTTGGCCCCTTTCTGTTCTTAGTTTATATATAATTCTCAATAACTGCCCGGAGTCAGGAAGTTGGCGGTGTCTCACCCCCGTGCCTCGTAAAGCACGTAAAGCCGTTGGTACCAAGCCTGATCTCTCTCCGGTCGTGTCGGTTTACCGTCACATCGGATTATGAGAGTGAGAGAATAGAGAGCGCATCTGTGCTTGCGCATACACTTCGACACTATAATCCTGTCCTGCGCCGGTGGCTAGCCTCCGTTGAGGCTGGCTGCCTTGACCGAAATTCGGTTTGGACGATATTATTTTTATTATTAATAAATATAAGCTCATGAACGCGTCCACATCTGTCGAAGTCAGTGATGACACAGTACTCTTGGTGACAGTGCCAGTGCTGGCATTTATGGACGGCAATCGGCAACGGCGAACTTTTTTGTCAGATCGCGGAAACAGCTGCACCAAAAACAATCTCTCTCTCGGATATTATAGCCTTCTTCCAACGACTATTTTTCGTTACAAATTTTCTTCCTAGTTTCTTCAGAAGAATATTGAAACAGGTTTCTGTCATTTCAAAATATTCAAAATATTTTTTTAATATCTTAAAACGTATTTAATTATTTCTTTGTATGATATCTTGAACTCTCCTTCCGTTTCTTTGTCGTGGTTCATGCATTTATTTCATTCTTTTTTTTTGATGCTACTCTTCTTCTTCGTCTAAATCTATAGCTATCATTGCTAGTTCCCTATTATTGAGAGCCATAGAAAAATCACAATTACCTTAGTACTTTGCACACGTTTTTCCTTAAGATCCGTAGCCTGAGTACTTGCATGTGTGAATTGAAGCACTGCCGTATCACTATAGTACCGATACGGACCTATGCGGACGCTTTGCCCGAACTATATCCTCGTGAATCGACCATCAAACGGCTATTCTTAAATTATTATAATGTGAATAAGGATATGTCAAATTTATTATGCTGCTTTAACGTCGAGAGTTTACTTTTGAACGGAAATAAAACAAAATTTTTTTAATTCACAAAAGCAAATGTTAAACGGATAATAACTAAGTAATTGTAAACGTCTTGTTGAACCCACTGTTTTTCTCGGAATTACAGTTGACGCGAAGTTTGAAAATCTTCGTTTTACAGAAGTGAGCCAAAAGTGTAATTTATTACCCAGTTCCAAAGGAATCTTAGTAGGAATAAAAATTTATATAGTAA